TAAATGTCTTTCGCCCACTCTCCTGGCAAGTCCTTCACTCTGGCTGTGTGCGTGCTCTGGTTTTCCTATCATCTGCAAATGTAGCTCGGTTGCCGGATGTACAGATGTACAGGTTCACCTGGCTGAGGAGAATGAATAACACACTCTCTGTGGTGAACGTGTTAGTCGTGTACAGTTCTGGGATTCGCTCGCACCCAAGTCTCCCTTATTGCTAACAGCAGATAGCAGTTCACGTTTTTCCCGGCTGCCGGCGCCGCCTGCTGTCGGTTTGGGTAATCGCCGTTGTTTTTTTTCTACCTTTTTTTTCCAGTCTACCGAACAGCTTAATTAGAAGCGTATTGCTCTCACACATCACGCTGTCGGACGCATTTCGCTGGCTCTCGGCAAGCAAACGAATAAATGAGGGCAAATGTTACCGGTTGAGGCGCAAAACGAAAATGTATTACGCACTTGCTGAAATTCAATTAAAAAAACAGCTTGGTTGGAGAAAATGTCCAATATCTTACTTAGAAACAGGGAAATGTCCGGCAGTGTTCTGCTGTACACTATGTGACGCAGATAGCAAATGAATGTTTTGTTCAAATCCTTGAAAGGAAATCTCGATTTTTTTCTTTCTGACAAGCATCTCCGCCTTCCATCGTGAACTCTTAATACAATCCCCAGCGTGACGCACAACCTCAAAGACCGCTTTGACATGCGTTAATATATGACCACCGCGTGGTCCTCAGTGAAGCTTTTCAGCTTTCCATCTCGACAGACGAATTCCTTGTAAAACGGACCAGATTTCACAGAGAAGAGAGTTTCCTCAAGACGCCCTAGAACTAATGAGAACTAATATCTGTGTTTAAGTGTAAAAAGAAAACGCTTCCTAGAAATGCCTATTAGCCTTTGCATGATGTAACCAAGGTGCCTTGTGCTTGCAGAGAACTCTGATGTCTCAGCTGGGTTGAGACCGACCCCCACCGACACAAACCCACCAGCCTGCCTGCCACACCTCCGGCCTTATCTCGAATACTGTCTTCACTGTCCCAGCAAGCGGGAATGAGTCTTGGTGCCAGGGGGCTGTCACAGACAGCACAGACAGGTGAAGAGGATCATTCTCGTCTGAGCCTGGAGCAAAGGGGGCCGAGAGGAGGTGTGACTGAAATGTGGCACACACTCGCCCGTGGCACTGGGATACCTGGACTGGCCTACTGCCAGCACCCAGGCTGGACCCTGCGGGTGAGCCACGCAGCTCACAGGAAGCCCAGCGGTGCTGTACAGCCCTGCAGAGTGAGCTCGGGGAGCTGTGTTGAGCTGGCCTTTGGCTTTTTTGAGAGCAGGGCCTAGCGCAATTTCCCAACCCACTGATCCCCCGGTGCTTTTCGGGATCTTAACTCCCATCCGTTATTTTCACACTGTGCTATTAGAAGGGTACGTAAAGTGCCCCACCGCCTGTTTTCTGAAGAGTGCAAAAAGACTTTGGCTCAATTTGATTTTCTAATAAGGAGCTGGCTGGCCAGCAGCCTGTCTCGGTGTGGTGTGGTGTCTGTAAAGAGGGCAGTCAAGACGATTCCCATCAAGAAGGCTTCGAAGCGCTACTGTTCAATGGGAGGAGGACACTACATGGTCTTATTTTGCCCAAGACTAATGATTTACCCTGAGTGTGAAAGTGCCTTCAGCACTGAATCAGTAACAGCTCTACAATGCCTGAACAACACACAAGGAGAGGTGAAGCTTAACTACAGTACGTATAATCAAACAGGACAATTCTGCTCAGCACATACCCTTACACCAATTTTATGAAGCAGGACATCAGCCAGAGAGGGCCATCTCTTAACAATTCATTTGCAGTGACAGCTGCCAGCACATCTCTCCACGGAAAACCAGTTTCACGTGGTCCTGTAGGAGCAGCTATTTCTTGCACACTGCAGTGATCACACATGCTGATGCCTGTCCTAACCTATACATGTCAAACAGCAGCTGACTGCTTCCACTTTCTAAAATTAAATTACAGGACAGCTTTTCATTCAGAGGATACACACGAGTTCCTAACTGTATGCGAGACACACACAGCAGGCTGGCATCAGCACCAGGGACGAGTCTTACAGCTAATGAGGAGAAGAGGAGAACAGGTTATTCTACTGATGAGCCAGCACTACACAGCCCTGCAGAGTGACCTCAACAGTACAACATCATTAACAGTAATTCCTGACACTTACACAGCGCTTGTCTCGACACTCAACTCAAAGCACAAAACTCACAGGTAATGGGGTCTCCCCTCCACCATTCAAAACACATGACAAAATGAAAGGAGGGTTGAGATCTAGCACATCTTAAAACAATTTCAGAGTGAAGCATTTAAGGTTAATGATCACTGATGTAGGTTCCAGATCACTTATATCTGCACCTTTCAAGCAATCAAGGAAACTTTCCTTTTTCATATCAAGTGGGTCACCTCACCTCCAAGATTACAGTCAGTGTGTCACCCTACAATCTCAGCACAACCAAGAACCCCTCTCTGTGAGTCCAGACAATTTCTCACTGCAACGACTGACAGCCAGGCTGGTCATTTGTACCAGCTCGCTCTGTGCAGAACAGTGTCGTTTATTTTCTGGTACATGTGTCTCTTTTTCTTCATAGTACATGATACTGATACATGATTATCAATATAATAGTACTGATTCCAGTTCTAATAATCCCCATCCTCAGTGTTGCTTGGGAAACAGGGAGTTTGTGGGGTCTGTTGAGGGGAAAATAATATAATCGACATAAAGAAAAATAAAATTCACAGACTCTGCATGACATGCCAGGAAAAGAAAGAATAAAACTGCTCTTTAAAAACAAAACTGGGAAAACAAACTCCAACACACTGTGCAACAAATTAAATGCTCAAAAAAACAGCTACCTTATTTCAGTTTGGTCTTACTATACCTGCCTGACCTGAATATGTGCGAATCTAATTAACATTAATCCTAATGCCTGTCACACAACCTTTATAGCATAACTCCATGCAATCTGTTTAATGCATGAGCCCTCATGTACAGACACTCCACACAAACATGCACTGGCTTTTATGTTAGAAATGAATACTCCAAAAGAGTGTTTTTATTAGATTTCGAAAATACACCGATGACTTTCTTTCGTTTTAATCCTGCTTGGGGTGGGACATCAAACTTCACAAAACAGTTTTATTTTGGGGCAGCGTTGTTTATAGTAGGGTGGCACAGTGGTCTTCATATCCAGCAAACTGATCATGGCTCCAACTCTGTTGTGCTAATGTGGGTGAAATTCCGGCCACGGCGTCTAAGTGGCTCACTTGCACACAGCTGTGCCAGTACTGTACACTTCCTGCATGTAGACAGCTGGGCTAGTTTAGGATAAGCACCACAGATCCCTTCATCTGTGCAGCAGTATTAGTCATGAGGCAGTGCTCTGGGAGTGAGGCCATTACTGGATCCATTTTCTCCACAATACGGAGCGGATCTCTTGCACACAGACAAGCACATTCACTTCCTGTGGCTGCTCGCCTGCCAGAAAAAGCAAATCCATGCATGCATGCTACAGAGGACCGGATGATCTACATGCAGTATGCACAGTATATCAGATCGCACTCTTAGATCTTAGATCGTACTGAATGATGATGAATAGTTCTGTGTTTAGGCTAGATCTGCACCTATTAGATGTTCTCTATTGTGGAACACACCCTGAAAGCTGCCGATCCTCTTTTCTGTATTACGAGAGCGCCACAGAGAAGCTTGAATACTCTCGACCCCACGTCTCCTCAGCACTACGGGTAAACACAAGAGCGTACAGCGCCCTCTGCTGGCCGCCGGCCCTTATGGGAATGGCTAATTCAGCCACAGCTGCACTCGGTGAATCCCGTGTGAGTCGAGACGGAAGGAATGAAGCAGAGGAAATTCTTCAACACCCCCGTTTCGAAATATTCAAGGCTGTTCTGTTCCCTCGGGGGGGAGAGCCCAGCGTCATTCAGAATAACCCCCTCCCCCGATCTACTCACACACACACACAAAATGAAATTCAGGTCAAAGAGTGGACACCTCTTTCAGCGGGTCAGTATTATTAGGTACCTTTAGCGTATGTGCATGAGTCAATTTTAGGTCACAAGACTAGGAAAAAAGATATCCAGTTATGAATACTCTACCTCGAAAATGGCATAAAATGCTCCCTCCCCGAAGTGTTCAAAACAGCTTGAACAATGTCGGCTTACAAGTGGGTTGTGATGACAAAGCGCAGGAAGAGTACTTGTTTTGTAAAATCCTAGTGCATAGCAATTTCTCTTCTCTTCAAATTTCATGTGACCCATACAGATGTCAAAGCAGAGAATTAAAAGCTGCAGCTGCCGTCTGGTGGGCGCGCACTCCAGCCTGTCTGTAGAGAAAGAGGCAGGAAAGAGCAGGCTGGGCACAGCTCTTTTTACGGGGGGGGCGAAGAGGCTCGTTGGAAGAGCGGCGTTTGAACTCAGTGGGTTTCAGCCTGACCCTCCTGCCCCGTGTGTATCAGGTGCAGGCGAGCCGAGCGCGTTTGGCGCTGCCCATCGCCGGGGTGAATCACCGGGGCCTCTTTACACACATAATGCACCCCCGCACCCAACAAAACTGCACAACGGCTTTGCTTGTCGATTTCCGTGCCCCAGTAACTGCCCCCCTGCCATGACAGCTGTGCAGGGGAGACGGGCCCGTGCCAGGCTCGTGTCGCTTCTCTATAGTCTCGCATTTCTCCCTCAGCTGTCAGTTGTTATGCTAATTCACCCCTGGTCCTCCGGAGGGGGTATGCATGCCTTCCCACTTACTGATCGCGTTCAGACACTTACACGGTTGTCACCTTCGGTAACTGGCCGTGTCTTGCATGCCTGTGCAAAACGTGCACCCTCAAGAGCCAAAATAAGCTTTAATTTAAAAAAACAAAAAGAGATGATTCGCGTTTCCAAAGCAAAAGCCGAAAACGAAACGAAACAACAACAAAATGAAACATTATAATAAAGAAAGTATCCGAGGTACCTGAGTATCCAGCATCATCATTATCTCGGGTTCATAGTCCCTTTCCTTGTGCTTGACGGCTGGTGGCGCGGTGTTACAATCCTCCTTCTTCCCACATCCTGAACGAAGGAGCCACCATCCCACGGCGGACAGGGAGCGTGTGGGAATCCCGTTCACTGCCGCGTATCTGACCGCCACGGGAGAGGCCCCCAGCTGCGTGTTATCAACCCCTCCTCGGTTAAAAGTCAGCCTTTCGCCGAGTACCATAAAAAAAAAAACCCGACAAACGGCGGCTCTCCTGAAAACGTGGCAGCGAGTTTTTTTTAAAGCGACGCGACACGACCGAGCCGCTCGGAACCGGAGACGAGTCGGATCACAGCTGTCGACAGGGAGACCAGCTCGGTTCTCTGAAATACCAGCTTTCTGGACAACCGCCCAGCTAATAAAAAATATAGTAAAAGCGGGAATAAACCATCTAAAAATTCCAAGATATGGAAAGCTAAAGGAATGTATTCGGGGTTTTTTTTTTTTAAAGAAAAAAGCCGAAGCTTTTCCAGATATGGCACTGAATAACGCAGCATACAAACGCGTGTTGTTACTGTATCGTGAGCTCTTCACCTCAGACAGTCCGGGACAACAGTAAGACCGCCCCACGGCCAGTCCCTGAGGCTGCCGGGCTACCGGGCAACTTCGCAGGAGGCGCGGCGCCGATCCGGCAGGTCGGGAGTGCCGCGGACTGGACTGGACACGGGACTGGACACTGGACTGGACACGGGACTGGACACGGGACTGGAAACCGCCGGAGCGCCGGCACTGCGGTCGGAGCCGCAAGACGGACGAACCGGGCGAGCGCCTTCGCTGAAATGACCTGTGCGTGAAAGCCTGATTACAGCCCGAGTTTGCAAGAAGATGCCCCCTCCATACAGCAGCGCATCGTGACCAGACAGCTCCCTTAATGTCTGACGAGAGGATTCTTCAATGGCACTTGCAGTTCATGGCCATTAATCCACCGGGATCTACACACAAAAAAAAACAAAACAACGGCTGTGTGTTTTAGGCACAGCCCGCACTGAAAACCCGTCTTCTGGGTCACCTTTCCTCGCTAATTTACGCGGGCATGTGTCCACCGCTGCCTGACAGAGCACGGCAGTCTCTCACACAGCGTAGAAAATACAGAAAGCTGTCATAACTAGACGTTGCTGGGCTCCGTGCAATATCCGACGTTTCCACACTAAAAATGATGCATGAGCCCCGTATAGAAAAAAACAACCCAGTGTTTTCCTCATCACTGAAATATTTCCCAGGCTCCAGCTGCAACATGGACGGTTTTTTTTTTCTTTGCGTTTTTCAGTCAACTACAGTTTTAGTCCGAGCGTCTTCCCTTCCAGCGGAGGAAAACCAGTTCTCGGATCCTGGCTGGTGTTCAACCTCTCACAAACACACACACACACAACATAACAAGCCGAGATTAAAATAGGGTCCGCCCAGCGTTGACAAAGATGATTAAAAACAGCTTCATCCATTACTGGAAACAAAAAACAGGAACAGAAATGTAAAAAAAAAAAAATCAAAATCCACCCAGGTCCAGGCTGGATCCCTGATCGCCTTAACGGGGAGGTTCGGCGGGGCCGCGCCTGGGAAGGGGGGGGCGAGCGGGAGCGCGCAGCGCCGGGAGCGCGGAGCGCGCGGCTGCGAGGGATGCAGCCCAGCCTCCTCGCGCCCTGCCGTCTCCCGGGACTCCCATCCATCCGCTCGCTCTCTCCTCCGCCTGCCGGTTCCCAAGGAGACGGGAGCCGGGTGGGCCAGCAGGGCCCTGCGCTGCTCCCCACGACGTTTGCCGTGTTTATAAACGGTGCAGATTTACACGAGTTACGGTGTGGCGCGCCAGACGCTACACATCCAGCCCGCCGGCGGATAAAACGCGTCTTTTCCACGCCGTAAACCCGAGAAATGTTATTAATCGCCACCGCTGACGTTCTCCTTTCATACATAATGAATGGGAAAGTGCAGGCCCGTTCTTTGGTTTAGTACTGAGGTGGGGGGAGTAATATCCAGTCTTGTTTTGAAGATCAAATATATTAATTGTCGCTCTCCGGGCTAGCATAATGCATACGCACCACAGCACATTTCACATTGTAGTTTTAATATTAATATTGCAAGACATGGCGCTAGACACAGGGTATGCTGTGTGAAAGATGTGTGCCACGTCTCCGATACCGTCTTTCGTTTTTCATTAAAACCCACAAATGTGTTCTTGTGAGTGGGACTGTACAGGAGCCTGCGCGTCTCCGGTCTGTGCACAATCCGCTGCCATGACACACTTTTCCAGTAACAGGCTGCCCGGAGGCTGAGGAAGTAGGTCTGTAGGTCTGGCCTGCTGCATAATGGATGAGCAGACACCTGAATTACTGCGGGCAGCGGTATGCCTTTCTCCTTGGGAAGCGATAGCGGTGTAGGTCACAGGGTCCGCCCTGACGAGGCTGTAGGGAGCACAGCCTGGTCTGTGTGTGTCATATCAGCCACACCAGGCTTGTAACAGCTCACCATTCCCCTGAATTTCGTGCTAGAAAGCAATAAGGAGGCAAGCAGGATGTGAGTATATTTGCTTTAAAGTGTAGAAATTAATCCATCTGATGACGATTTTTAGAAATTATATAACAC